AAGAAAAGAAGAAAAAAATTAAGCACTCTTGCAAATCGCAATATTTACCATCGAGGATAAACTCTAATAACTTACATGTCGAATGCATATCGTAACTTTCCAATTCATTATAAACAAACATGTTTTCTTGGGAATACAAAATGTGTTTCAATTTTTCTTATCATTAGTGTCAATTCAACTAAAAGCCTCCTAATAACAAAATTTCATACCCTTCGCACACAAGGAGCCCCTCCTGTCGGATTGGAGTGTACACGGTGAAGTAACCTGTGCATCTCCATTTTAGCAAAAAATCGACTTAAATACCAATTTCAGCGCTAGTGACTAAATCGTTCTCATTTATGTAAAGCAATCTATCTAAATAAGTATTAAGTAATAGTTTTATAAACTTTATAGTACATCAATTAGACAAAGGGAACTTTAAAATCCATGCACTTTTATAACGGTCCAGCATATTTTACACACTTGACAATTAAAAATGTATCCAAATATCATTATTGTCACTCTCATTCTTGTCTATTTTAAATCAAATAGTTACTTTAAGTCAAACATTTACATGAAAAACAATTAGATGGTGATAGTGGTGATGATGATGATGATGGTGGTGGTGGTGATGATGACGATGATGATTGTAGTGATGATGACGATGATTGTGATGATGATGTGAATGGTAACGATGCTAATGATAATGGTGATCATGATGATGATGTCGATGGTGGTGATGATGATATATTGATGTACAACAAAGTTTATATGACATTAACCAAATACTTATTTAGATTTATTTATTAATTACATATAGATAGACAGATGGAATGAAATGAAAACAGAATCACTCAAAAAGTGCTATTGAAATTCGGAAAGTGAAATCACCCTACGAGACTATTGTAATTTGAGTACTTGACGCATGTTGTTGAAAGTGTTTATTTAATTTAGTTATGTTTATTTAAGTTAGTCTTATCTTATGACGCAGACAATATGAGTTTAACTCCTGCTGTCAGGAGAGGAATGACCCTGTGGTCATTTAGAGGCCTTTACTTTTTTTAAGTTGTTGTAAGTAGTTTATGACAACGCATAGTTTAAAAACAACATGTCTCTCGAAGATTCTATGAGAGGTGCATTTTTTCAGTAAATGTAAATATTGGATAGTCAAACACGGAATTTAGGGGTGTTAATTACTCTCAAAGTAATACAATAAAATACCCGCATAATTAATCATCATTCACATGATGATTGATCAAATAAAGTGATTGATCAAAGAAAGCGACTGATGGGGTGCTGATCAACGACAGAGGTCAACGATCTATTAAATTACAAAGTTTTTGTCCTGAGTACCTCCCGGTAGTTGCCTCGAACGACTGTGTGTAGGGTTGACAACACACGACTTTTCAAGCAAATCTTTAACATTGAATAACTCGGAAACTGTTACACTTAGAGCAAAAAGACTTTCAGTACAATTAAGTACATATTTAAGACTCTACAGTTTTCGGTTTTGTCGGTCGTTCTGTTCCACCCTGTATGTAACTATTGTTTTTGATGTGCTGTTTTCTTCATTTTACTATATTATTCCTACCTTTATTGGTCACACTGTACTTCCTTATTTGAAGAATATAGAACAAAAACTGATGAAGGCTTTTGTTTATACATGAACATACATTACCTATCTCTATGCGCCTGAGCAAAATCAACAGGCAATATTGACATGTTATAGTAGTCAACAAATAAGATGACACATTTGACAGCTGAAGAAGGCGACATTATGTAACTTTGAATGCGATTAACGAAATAATAAACAAACAATTATTAGCATATTTGACTTTCAAACATTACATAAATTTTAATGCAACATTAAATAATATGATGACAAAACATATTTGAAGTACTGTTTATGCACGAATTACAATATAAAATTCAACTTTGAGTTACTCCGAAACGTCCTGAAAACAGTTACGTCCTGAAGCTATTTTTTAAATTATTTTTTTTAAATATACATAGTGTTGTAAGCAAGTAATCGCCGAATTCCACAGAGTCACTTCGATTTCTCGGAAAAAATATTGCTTTTTTAATATTAAAACAAAAATGTAAAAAATATGTGTATTTGAAATAATTATCTATAACACAGAGATGTTACCACACCTATTGCAAATTTTGAATTGTCAGCACTGATCACCAATCCAGCGGCACCCAGAGTCCGCGTCTGCGCACCGCGCAGTCTTTCGCAAATCTTGGAAGTTGACTGTGCGCTTGATTATTTTTTATGTATTTTTCTTGTGACTCGGCTTTGCTTTATGACTGTTCTTGTTTTCTAAATTATGAACATTATTTGAGATTGTTTGTTGTTGACATGGACAATAATTGAAAATTCATGAAATCCTTGGTTTCTTGATAATTTAATATTTTTATGTAGTTGTTTTATCGATGAACATACTTATTTAACACTGAATTCTCGTAATAAACCATTTATGAATATTATAAAATTAAAAGAATTGGATACAATTCATCGGAATGTGCCACAATTTTACGAAATTGAGAGGAATTGCTACAGAATTGCAAAGAATTTTGTAAATGAATTGCTTTTAACAGAATTGCACGATTTGGTCTTTTAGGCCTCCTGAACAACAATGAACCGAAAAATAATCTAAACGATTATAAACTCTCAACATTTTGAATCGATTTCTCGTGAAAATCGTATAATATTATTACCGATATGATTAGTCCACATCCCTATTCGCATCACGATGACAAGTGTCAAATGTGGCCTCTTATATGGTCACTATAGCCACTGATATCGAAAATAAAAACTGTACTGAATTTGCTTACCTAATATAAGCAAAATTCTGAGATAGGTTTCTTATGCGCGGGAGTAGGTCAACCTTTCTCCTTTACAGATTAAAGTATCTAACTGTCTAGTTCTTTACAAGTAATGAACGGATTATCAACGATCGTGTAGTTGCAATTTATTTATCATATTACTATTAAAGATGAAACGGATATCCGGTAATTATACGGTATCCGGCCTATTTTTACTATTACCGGTCGGATACCGGATAATAGAACAAAATCCGGCCGGATGTTTAAAACTGAGAAAAATTTATAATCAGCAGTACGCCAAATAAATTGATTTATTGATTGAAGACGATAGTAATAAGATAAACAGCAACAACAGGATCGTTGACAATCTGTTTATTACTTGAAACTGAAAGAATTATGAAGTTAGATAACGGTATCGGTAAATTTAGTACTCAAATTTCAATAACGGCAAATTATGGTGGATGAAGGCCAGTTGTTCTGCGTTAAGTGGGAAAAGTTGGTTCTATTTATCTTCATGAACGAGACCAGTTTCAGAGGACAGTTTTTCACTATGAACTCTTGCAAACTTTGTTAGATTTTACGTACAACTTGTTATTGCCAGACAACCAAATAAAGGATCGCGATCACGATCGATTTGAACAGTCTTCAAATACAATATGTAATAATGAAATATGTAAGTAGATTAAACATTTTTTTTTTGCAAATATTTGGTGTCACTTTTTAGAATTAGGTCACAAACAAGTTAATGAAAATAATTAGTTATTAATTTTTTAAATTTAATATATATTTATATCCGGTATTCGGCCGCCTACCGGATAGATTCCGGATATCCGTTTCATCTCTATATTATATGACCCATGTTGAAAGCCACAGATTGATAACCATAGTTCTGAATATATCAAACATAATCGAATCCAATAAATCAAACAGTAATATGGAACTCTTTGAAATAAATTATTTGTTATAAGACAAACAATATGCTTACAGGAAAGGTAAATCCACCATAGTTGCAGCAAATATTATTACCAGTATAGACAATAAGTATAAAGCTGTAGGCATATTTTGCAACCTTATTCTTTCAAAACAAAGCTGTGTATGGTGTCAACAGAGTCGCCCACAATTTATTAGTCTTTTTTAACAAAGAGTAGGTAAACAGTTCAGGGCAGCACAAACGGTACAACAACAAAGTCCATTACTGGTGATATTACCACTAGGACCCCACAGGGATCGGCCTTAAGTAATACACAATTCATAGCATTCATCAACAATCTGCCATACTTTATATTGTGGGTGCTGGTGGTTCTATTTGCGGATGACAACCGTTGTGGTATGTGCTGAAAACTATAAGGAGTTGGAAGAAAAAATAGCCTACACATACAAGCAACTGTGTGAGTAATTCTCTGCGAATGGAATGAAGATGGTGTCAAAATTTGAGCACCTATGAATGACGTGCATGCGGAGGTCGAGCGTTGTGAAACGCGGGAAAACTAAAATCCGTTGCCCACCATACCTAACTCACAACAAAAAATCCGCAGGTAATAGGTCCCCGATTCTCCAAACATGTACACACAAACCTAAGTGTTCCAAACGGCGAAACGTTTAATACCTGATTGAAACTCCTTATATTGGATAATGAATTCTACAGAGTCAATGAGTTTCTTTTGAAACAATTGTAATTTGGTTTTACTTGAGTTTGTTGTATTTAGATAAGAAGTTATACTACTTTATTCCTATTCATTATTATTGTTTGTGCTAGTGATGATCATATTACCCCTTGACATAAAGCGATCTTGTCGTATCTCGAAAAATAGGACTTTACACCAGGGCCAATAAACCATTTCAAGAAAGTCAATTTTAAAGTATGATTATATAAATCATACTTTAAAATTGACTTTCTACTAATTCAAATTAAAGATAAATAATTTTTTGAAATAGTTATTTGACCCTGGTGTAAAGTCCTATTTATCGAGATACGACAAGATCACTTTCCAGCGTCAACATTATATTTCTTATTGTAATATTGTGACATTGATCATCATCATCATCTCAGCCCGTTAACACCCACTGCTGAAATAAATTATTCTATTCTATCCTATTATTCAGTTATCGAGTTAAATAGTTGTCTATTTTAAATTTTTCTATTATATAATTACATTGCAAAAAAAATTTTATAAATAACACTTATTAATTACCAGCAAACTGTGTAAGATTAGCCCTTAGTGCATTGATGGTTTCTCTAGCCTTGCGTAGCTCAAATTCTAGGACTGCTACATCTCCCCCACTGCCTCCACGGTCCCCTCCACCATCCTCTGAATATCTTGCTGTGTCTAAAGAGTCCAATGTGGCCTGGCTGGGGGTCCGGTCTGTAAATGGCAACAATACAAACCTTAAAAAAATTTAAAAAACTAAATAGTTAAAAAAAATGAGATAATGAACTGACTAAATTCCTTTACCAACAAGGCAACTCCTTAAAATTAGGAGGTTACTATCAAGTACAAATTTTGTACAGAGATAATTAAAATCTTACATAGAAGACTGCTTATAAACATGAAGATTCACAGCATCAGTAAAATGACAATACGCACAATAAACAGTTAATACATACGCATGGAGCCAAAATCTGAAGCTCTAGAAGCATGTTGTTCAAAGTTTCCAGGATTCGAGAAAAACTCCCTTAACTGAGGAAGCTCCTTGCCATTCTCCACTAGCTCCGTGTGCAATTCCAAGGCTGTAAGGAAGTAGTGGTCCTTCAGCAGCTTCGTGGCTACGTCCTCATAACTTAGGTGAGGAGGGGCCGTAAAGGAACTCTCCTCAACATCTTTGTAAGGGTTCATGTTGATAACGGTCTTTCTGCATTACAAAGGTATTTTTAATCTTATATTGGTCCATAAATATCATAGGTTGGTTTTTAGAGCTATGTGGATAATTTCACAATATTTATAAGTAAACCTTCCAATTCCACACGACAAATTGTTTCCACTACATGAATGAATGATTGAACTGTAAAT